TCTCTTTCTCTTTCTTCACACATTCAGGCACGGTTTTTCACTAAATTGTGAATTGACTGAAATTGAAAAGGAAATTTCAAAATGTAACTGCGATGCAGACTCACACACACTGCAGACTGCAGTCTGACATACAAACACAAATTAAAATTATGTCTACCCTTCTTCTGCCCCCAAATAATAGCCCTCATTCTTTAGCTACTCAGTCAATCTTACCATTACCTCTATACCTACTAACTGGCATCCCCACCCACTGGCCCAAATTGAGTCGTCTATCTAATTCCCGAGGTTGATATTCCCCATTCATTTGTTCTTACAACCGGGACTGGACTAACCCTCCTTGCTGCCCCATGACCGTTTTCCTCAATGCACCTCCCTCTCACCCCTTGAGATATACGTATATGCAAAACGTTTGGAATATGTGACTGTATGGGTGAATGCAACTAGTTTGGGGCATGATTGGATGGTGAATGTGAATAGATGGTTGTATGACAAGTGGAACAGGACTGAAAGAGGGCGTGTGTGGCTGCTTGTGGTGTTGCTTGTTTCTGGGGACTCTGCTTGTGGGATTGTGTGCGAGAGGATGCTGCTTGTGGGATTGTGTGTGAGAGGATGCTACTTGTGGGGTTGTGTGTGAGAAGATACTCCTTGTGGGGTTGTATATATGGGGGAGGATGCTTGTTTGGTTCAATGTGTAGGAGGGAGGCTGTTGTGGAGTTGTGTGTTTGTGGACGAAGCTCTTTACGGTGTAGTATATGTGTGTGTATGTAAATAAGGGCTGTAGGTGGTTAAGGACTGTGTATGTATAGGACAGGGGTAGGCAACCTTCAGCACTCCTGATGTTTAGTACTATATCTACCTTGATGCTTTGACTGTAGTGTATATGTGCGGTAATAAGGTAATAAGGTCTATGGTATGTGTTTAGGGTGATATGGATTGTTGTGTGTGTTGTAGTGGTGACAGAGACTGTTGGGTTTATTGGAGTAGTGTGGAGGGTGGTATTTTATTTGTGAAAAGTTTATTTCTCTCCCTATCTTCTTACCTTGAGCCAGGGAGAGGGGAATACTCTCTGCTGGTCCAATGGGTGCATCTACCGGTCTATTCCTTCAGAGGGTGCACATCACCTGTATTGGTCCTTCCATAGAAGCGTTGCAATAGTAACTTGTGGCAAAACTTGCAGTTGAAAAACATGTGGTCTGCACCCTCCAGGGATCTTTGATTTCCCACTGGCTGTGCCACCACCCCTTTGTCAGCTGCCTGTCTTTTATTATGTGTGCAAACATTGTGCAATTGTAT